GACAGTGTACACACCCTAACATTACACTATATCAGGGGTCGGCAACCCCTGGCACGCATGCCAGCATTGGCACGTGGCACCGTAACCAGTGGCACACTAGGAATAAGTGGAATAAGTGTGCAAAATATTTAAATTAATTTTCGGATCCTGAACGCGACCGCCGCCAGAGCGCGTCTCCCCGTTACCTGCAGAAGGAAGCCATGCACGTAACGCAGCCCCGCTCTCTTTATCTCCAGGTGAATTTCTGCCGCTTTCCTCCGTGGTGCATTGCTGATCGTTTCACCACGGAGGAAAGCACTTCACTAATTGCAGTACCCATAAGGAGCTGTACAAATGCCGCAGTTTTTGCGTGGCTGTGTATTTAGTTGAAAGCCCAGTGGCGATCTGCTCATCTCTCATCGAAATAATATGCTACAAAGGGGCGGACTGGCCATCTGTGTGTTGAACTTTCCTGTCGGCTCCCAGACCGTAGTCGAGGAGGGCAGAAGCAACAAGCTTCAGGTTCAATAACCCACTTTAGCTTAAATGACTGGAGAGAGGCGAGGTGTTCTTGGGAGGACGTTGCATTTATCTGCTGATAGTTGACGAGCGTCAAGCTCCTCACCCACCCCCCCCGTTGATAATTCTCGATCGTTGGCACGCGGATAACAATTTTTTTTTTAAATGGCACTTCATATCAAAAAGGCTGCCGACCCCTGCACTATATTATTATACTGTATTATACCAAGAATTATAGCACTATACTGTGAACAACTGAACACTCATCATTCCCCATTATGTTCTAATAATGAGCATTTCTTCAAGAAAAGTTCTACTACAACAGGAGAAGGCTTCTTAATTGTTGTGTTTTTTTTTGCATTATGCCACAAACTGAACTTTACAAAAAGTAACAACAAAAAAGACCTTGCAGTATTTTGATTATACCCAATGTTTTATGATATGGACTGTGGTCTTATATGATGAAAACATTGTAATATATACAATGTGGCTCAGTGGGTTACTGCTCAGTGGGTTAGTGTGCTGATCTTCGAATCAGAGGATAGCAAGTTTGAGTCCCACTGCAGTCAGCATGTCGTTGTGTCCCTGGGCGAGACACTTCACCCCAAATTGCTCCTGTGGGGATTGTCCACAGTACTGAATGTGTGTAAGTGGCTTTGGATAAAAGCGTCTAACAAGTGACATGTCATGTAATATCTAACTAAATCTGATTATCTCTATGTTCATCGTACCCAATTTTGTTATTTATACACTTTCCACTATGTATGACCAAGTTTGGACCTTTTATTTTTCTCTTTTATTCAGTTGTTTGCCTGTCAGCAAAATGAAAGAAAGAGTTCCTTACTGCAGGTGCTGAGTTCCTCCTCACAATTAAACAGTGGATCGTCAAAGAACCCCTCAGTGTCGAGGTTAGGATCTGTGGAGCAAGAATTAGACAGTAAATCATTTTTGCAATGACTGATCATGTGTGTTTATGTTCAAGACATTTGATCAATTCAGTGTCTACTTACTTTACACAGTAACGAAATATTTATATATGCAGAAGTTTGGCTCAACTTACCCACTAGTCTCCCCAGGAAGTGATCAGTCAAGATGTCAGATAAATCATCTAAAAAACAAATAATGAGCATTATCAGGCAAAACAGTTACTTTCATATCTAATGTATACAGATAGGGGCTGATTTCCTAAAAAGAAAAAAGCTGCATTATTTTCTCAATATTAATGTTAGTTGTTAAGGATTACAACCCAGTAGGCAACCCAGATCTAGAAATAACTTTTCATTTCATCTGTGGCTTTCATTGATCTGGTTTTGTTAAAAATGCCCTTTAGGTCACTTTCATTTAAGAGTATTTTGCTATTAGTCTCCTTCGGGTTACCACAGTCTGCATCATATTTATGATAAAATGGGGTCAAGGCAGTAGCTTTCCATTTAATCAATGTGTTGATTATTGATGGATAATCATAAAACCTTCCTACAGCCCAGACAGGTTGTTCAAACTCAAACACTACTCACCTGCTAGATCGAAAGTACATAAAAACGGGTCCTGTTCCATTTCCTGCATCTTGGCACCTGCTAACACACACATTAAAAGGGGGAAATGAATACGTTATCATGCTAACATGCTACTTTGAAGTTACCGACTGCTGTATTGTACTGAAGGCAACCACTTGACCTGTATGCCTTGATTAGCATCAGATGAGATTTGTCTTGGCAAGTGTAATTTCAACCCTAAATGGTGATGTTTTTGATGAAATCTTTAACAGATCCATATTTTATGAAAGGGTGAAACTGTATACTTTTGGGTCTGATCGGGTAAATATCAGGTGACAAGCTACACGAGAAGTCAAAAAAGCACATCATGGGATTGGAAGCAGCTACATTTCATTTTTCATTGTGCCTAGTCACAGTTAAATGTAATGTCATTTCCACGTTGGCTTCCTTTCACTCCCCACTGGGTGGTTCAATTGAACTTCTCTGTTCTGACTACCAGACTTGGACCACACTGAAGGCTCAACTTGAGAACAAATTTAAAGAAAATTAGCAACATGTGCCATTATGCTTTTTTTTGCCATCTGGCACAAATATACACGTTATGCACACCTGCATGTATCCACGCACACACACACACACACACACACACACACACACACACACACACACACACACACACACACACACACACACACCAGCTGCTTATGCTATTTTTACAAACCTCATGAAACAAAGCCTCAATTTTGAGGAACCTTTCAACTAAAATACAGTAGTGTAGGTCTACTTCATCTCACACACACACACACACACACACACATACGCACGCGCACGCGCGCGCACACACACACACACACACACACACACACACTAGGGGTTTCACCAACTAATCGACTAGTCGACTAGTCGACTACCTTTACCACTAGTCGGCGCTGTAGGCCCTAGTCGTGAAAAAAATGGAGGTAAACGAGGTGCTGCAAATTGCTACAAAACACGTCCGACATTCTTATGTATGGCCGAACTTAAACGAAGATGTAACCAACTCCACAGTGAAGTGTCAGTTGTGTACAGCTGTACACAATACAATACAAATGCATCTGCTATGCGCAACCATCTGAAGATGAAACACCCGCTGCCGACAGCTAGCACTAGCAGTAATGCTAGAACCAGTGAGCAACGGACCGGCGTCAGCACTGAACAGAGGCAAACGAACAGCAATAAAACACGGGTCAACAGTGATGCGGATGATGAGCTACGGGATTACTGCCAGCGGACACCGCATATCCCCACAATGGATAATCCACTGGAGTGGTGGGCAGAAAACGTGCACCGCTTCCCCCGCTTTCGAGGAGCTACCTGGCTATTCCAGCCACAAGCACCCCGAGTGAGAGGGTTTTTTCCCTGGCAGCAACACTGTCACCCGAAAGCGGTCAAGCCTCCTTCCCTCACATGTCGATGCGTTGGTGTTCAAACCAAAAAAAATATGGAAAGGTGGACGTTATCGTGGAGGACAGCTAATAAAGTGTTGCGCAATGCGCTGTTGCGCACTGGATTTACGTGGCATTTATGTAAACAAGAGTTTTTTGCTGTCGATTTTGGTGAGTCCAGTGTTTGTTATTTACTCAGCCATGTAACACAAATTAAAATGCAGTGTTTAATGTTACTGTATGAGTTCCAATAGAAAATACAGTTGTAAACCTCTCTTTGTGTGTCTTTATTATGACGTAACGACTAGTCGACTAGTCGACTACTATTTTGTAAAACTAAGTCGACTAGTAAATATTGGTAGTTGTGAAACCCTACGTGTGTGTGTGTGTGTGTGTGTGTGTGTGTGTGTGTGTGTGTGTGTGTGTGTGTG